AATTAAGAGTGATCACAGATTTTCTTTATTTTGTTGATTGGAGCGTTAATTAAGGATCTACAGCCGATTTTATGTTTTTCATATAAAAATCAATTTTTGATGGAAATTAAGAGTGATCACAGATTTTCTTTATTTTGTTGATTGGAGCGTTATTTAAGGATCTACAGCCGATTTTATGTTTTCATATAAAACTCGACTTTTGATGGAAATTAAGAGAGATCACAGATTTTCACTGTTTTGTCGATTAAAGCGTTATTTAAGGAACTACAGCCGATTTAAAGTTCTTCATATAAAAATCGATTTTGGATGGAAATTAAGAGTGATCACAGATTTTCAGTGTTTTGTCGATTGGAGCGTTATTCAAGGATTTACAGCCGATTTAAAGTTTTTTATATAAAAATCGATTTTTGATGGAAATTAAGAGTGATCGCAGATTTTCACTGTTTTGTCGATTGGAGCGTTATTTAAGGATCTACAGCCGATTTTATGTTTTTCATAAGTGATTAAGAGTGATCACAAATTTTCTTTATTTTGTCGATTGGAGCGTTATTTAAGGATCTGCAGCCGATTTTATGTTTTTCATATAAAAATCGATTTTTGATGGAAATTAAAAGTGATCACAGATTTTCACTGTTTTGTTGATTGGAGCGTTATTTAAGGATCTACAGCCGATTTTATGTTTTTCATATAAAAATCGATTTTTGATAGAAATTAAGAGTGATCACAGATATTCACTGTTTTGTCGATTGGAGCGTTATTTAAGGATCTACAGCCGATTTAAAGTTTCTCATATAAAAATCGATTTTTTATGGAAATTAAGAGTGATCACAGACTTTCTTTATTTTGTTGATTGGACCGTTATTTAAGGATCTATATTTTTCATATAAAAATCGATTTTTGATGGAAATTTAGAGTGATCACAGATTTTCACTGTTTTGTCGATTGGAGCGTTATTTAAGGATCTACAGCCGATTTTATGTTTTTCATATAAAAATCGATTTTTGATAGAAATTAAGAGTGATCACAGATATTCACTGTTTTGTCGATTGGAGCGTTATTTAAGGATCTACAGCCGATTTAAAGTTTCTCATATAAAAATCGATTTTTTATGGAAATTAAGAGTGATCACAGACTTTCTTTATTTTGTTGATTGGACCGTTATTTAAGGATCTATATTTTTCATATAAAAATCGATTTTTGATGGAAATTTAGAGTGATCACAGATTTTAACTTTTTTGTCGATTAGAGTGTTATTTATGGATCTACAGCCGATTTTATGTTTTCCATATAAAAATCGATTTTTAATGGAAATTAAGAGTGATCACAGATTTTCTTTATTTTGTTGATTGGAGCGCTAATTAAGGATCTACAGCCGATTTAAAGTTTCTCATATAAAAATCGATTTTTGATGGAAATTAAGAGTGATCACAGATTTTTATTGTTTTGTCGATTGGAGCGTTATTTAAGGATCTACAGCCGATTTAAAGCTTCTCATATAAAAATCGATTTTTAATGGAAATTAAGAGTGATCACAGATTTTCTTTATTTTGTTGATTGGACCGTTATTTAAGGATCTACAGCCGATTTTATGTTTTCCATATAAAATTCGATTTCTGAAGGAAATTAAGAGTGATCACTGATTTTATTTATTTTGTTGATTGGAGTGTTATTTAGGGATCTACAGCCGATTTAAAGTTTTTCATATAAAAATCGATTTTTGATGGAAATTAAGAGTGATCACAGATATTCACTGTTTTGTCGATTGGAGCGTTATTTAAGGATCTACAGCCGATTTAAAGTTTCTCATATAAAAATTGATTTTTTATGGAAATTAAGAGTGATCACAGATTTTCTTTATTTTGTTGATTGGACCGTTATTTAAGGATCTACAGCCGATTTTATGTTTTTCATATAAAAATCGGTTTTTGATGGAAATTAACAGTAATCACAGATTTTCTTTATTTTGTTGATTGAGCGTTAATTAAGGATCTGCAGCCGATTTTGTGTTTTTCATATAAAAATCGATTTTTGATGGAAATTAAGAGTGATCACAGATTTTCTTTATTTTGTTGATTGGAGCGTTATTTAAGGATCTACAGCCGATTTAAAGTCTCTCATATAAAAATCGATTTTTGATGGAAATTAAGAGTGATCACAGATTTTTACTGTTTTGTCGATTGGAGCGTTATTTAAGGATCTACAGCCGATTTAAAGTTTCTCATATAAAAATCGATTTTTAATGGAAATTAAGAGTGATCACAGATTTTCTTTATTTTGTTGATTGGTTATTTAAGGATCTACAGCCTATTTTATGTTTTTCATATAAAAATCGATTTTTGATAGAAATTAAGAGTGATCACAGATTTTCACTGTTTTGTCGATTGGAGCGTTATTTAAGGATCTATAGCCGATTTTATGTTTTCCATATAAAAATTGATTTTTGATGGAAATTAAGAGTGATCACAGATTTTCACTGGTATGTTGATTGGAGCGTTATTTAAGGATTTACAGACGATTTTATGTTTTTCATATAAAAATCGATTTTTGATGGAAATTAAGAGTGATCACAGATTTTCTTTATTTTGTCGATTGGAGCGTTATTTAAGAAACTACAGCCGATTTTATGTTTCTCATATAAAAATTGATTTTTGATGGAAATTAAGATTGATCACAGATATTCTTTATTTTGTTTAAGGATCTACAGCCGATTTTATGTTTTCCATATAAAAATCGATTTTTGATGGAAATTAAGATTGATCACAGATTTTCTTTATTTTGTTGATTGGAGCGTTATTTAAGGATCTACAGCCGATTTTATGTTTTCCATATAAAAATCGTTTTTTAATGGAAATTAAGAGTGATCACAGATTTTCACTATTTTCTTGATTGGAGCGTTATTTAAGGATCTACGGCCGATTTAAAGTTTCTCATATAAAAATCGATTTTTGATGGAAATTAAGAGTGATCATAGATTTTCACTGTTTTGTTGATTGGAGCGTTATTTAAGGATCTACACCCGATTTAAAGTTTCTCATATAAAAACCGATTTCTGAAGGAAATTAAGAGTGATCACAGATTTTCACTGTTTTGTCGATTGGAGCGTTATGTAAGGATCTACAGCCGATTTTATGTTTTTCATATAAGAATCGATTTTTGATGGAAATTAAAAGTGATCACAGATTTTCACTGTTTTGTTGATTGGAGCGTTATTTAAGGATCTACAGCCGATTTAAAGTTTCTCATATAAAAACCGATTTCTGAAGGAAATTAAGAGTGATCACAGATTTTCACTGGTTTGTCGATTGGAGCGTTATATAAGGATCTACAGCCGATTTAAAGTTTCTCATATAAAGACCGATTTCTGGAGGAAACTAAGAGTGATCACAGATTTTCACTGTTTTGTCGATTGAAGCGTTATTTAAGGATCTACAGCCGATTTTATGTTTTCCATATAAAAATCGATTTTTGATGGAATTAATAGTGATCACAGATTTTCACTGTTTTGTTGATTGGAGCGTTATTTAAGGATCTACAGCCGATTTAAAGTTTCTCATATAAAAACCGATTTCTGAAGGAAATTAAAAGTGATCACAGATTTTCACTGTTTTGTCGCTTGGAGCGTTATTTAAGGATCTACAGCCGATTTAAAATTTCCCATATAAAAATCGATTTTTGATGGAAATTAAGAGTGATCACAGATTTTCTTTATTTTGTTGATTGGAGCGTTATTTAAGGATCTACAGCCGATTTTATGTTTTTCATATAAAAATCGATTTTTGATGGAAATTAAGAGTGATCACATATTTTCACTGTTTTCTCGATTAGAGCGTTATTTAAGGATCTACAGCCGATTTAAGGTTTCTCATATAAAAATCGATTTTTGATGGAAATTAGGATTGATCACAGATTTTCACTGTTTTGTCGATTGGAGCGTTATTTAAGGATCTGCAGCCGGTTTTATGTTTTTCATATAAAAATCGATTTTTGATGGAAATTAAGAGTGATCTCAGATTTTCACTATTTTGTCGATTGAAGCGTTATTTAAGGATCTACAGCCGATTTTATGTTTTTCATATAAAAATCGATTTTTGATAGAAATTAAGAGTGATCACAGATTTTCTTTATTTTGTTGATTGGAGCGTTATTTAAGGATTTACAGACGATTTTATGTTTTTCATATAAAAATCGATTTTTGATGGAAATTAAGAGTGATCACAGATTTTCTTTATTTTGTCGATTGGAGCGTTATTTAAGAAACTACAGCCGATTTTATGTTTCTCATATAAAAATTGATTTTTGATGGAAATTAAGATTGATCACAGATATTCTTTATTTTGTTTAAGGATCTACAGCCGATTTTATGTTTTCCATATAAAAATCGATTTTTGATGGAAATTAAGATTGATCACAAATTTTCTTTATTTTGTTGATTGGAGCGTTATTTAAGGGTCTACAGCCGATTTTATGTTTTCCATATAAAAATCAATTTTTTATGAAAATTTAGAGTGATCACAGATTTTCACTGTTTTGTCGATAGGAGCGTTATTTAAGGAACCACAGCCGATTTTATGTTTTCCATATAAAAATCAATTTTTGATGGAAATTAAGAGTGATCACAGATTTTCATTGTTTTGTTGATTGGAGCGTTATTTAAGAATCTACAGCCGATTTTGTTTTTCATATAAAAATCGATTTTTGATGGAAATTAAGAGTGATCACAGATTTTCACTGTTTTCTTGATTGGAGCATTATTAAAGGAGCTACAGACAATTTTATATTTTTCATATAAAAATCATTATGCAAAATGTGGCACGTTTTTACTGCCACTGTTAATATATTTTAATAAACTAATTGTCCTGTATAAACAAAAGTGTATAAGAGAGATGTTATCAAATGATATCTGAAAATGCGATTGTGGCGGCAGCTAAAGGCAAATTCATTTATAAATGGACAAGCAGCATTTAGCCAACAACCCTTTTGGTCAATAGTTCAAACAAAACCGTTATTTAGTAAACAACGTTAGGGAAACTTGGTTCGACAACTGGTGGAAGAGCAAATCTAAAAGCAAAAAAACAAAATATGAACAAATTTCAATTATATTTATCCCTGGTAATTATGAAAATTTTTGTTTAATTTCACTAAAGGATAAAAGCCCCCCCCCCCCCAAATTTCTCTTTTTGGGATTTTGTTTACAGATTTACGGTGTTATACCTTATGAGCGTTTAAATGTTAAAGCAAATATTTTCTTTAGCTACGTGCATATGTATGTAGTGCCCGCTTTATATTTGATTTGTTTTGGAATCATAACACTCGGTGATTATGCCGTCTATAAGCATGAAGGTTGTGACAGTATTTGTCGTTTGGCCAATATACTATTCGTGCATTTGGGTTTGTGTCTGTATGTTTTGACACATATTCTTACTCTATGGAGACGTAAACAATTCTTTATTGAATTTGAAAAATCTCTATATGCTATCGATATACATCTTCGTAAATGCGATGAACTGGGCGTTAAACAGGTGGAAAAGAAAAAGAACTTCAAGTATAAGTATTATATCACCTGGTTTGTGGTTGTTGCTTGCTTTACCTTTGCCATGGCTTATGATATCAAGGAATTGATTTTGTAAGTTTAATAGACTAAACTAATTAACGATAATTGTGATTGGAGAGTATTTTTTTTTTTACATTTACAGTTATTATCGCGAATTATTTTTCATTGTGTTTATTGTCTCGAACTTTCCTTATACTTCGTCCAGCATTGTTTTGGGTCAATTTGTTTATTACGTTTCGGAAATTTCTCAACGTTTTATTAAGCTTAATGAGCTGTTCGAGAGAATTAATCGTGAGAGTGAACGTAAACATGCTCCTTTAATGATATTCGATATTGAATCAGAGATTAAGAAAGAAATGCCTTCTAATCAAGAGTTAAGACAACGTCATGTTGTGGATCATATTTCAATTAATGAAGATAGTGACGAATTTAACGATGACGTGGATGATGATTTAAATGATGCCGAAACTATTCCGGCCGATAGGTATGTATATACATACATATAAGTCATCCATATGATAATTGGTTGTTTGCACATTGGGACCATTAACGTGACGCATATTTAGTATATATGAAAAATGGATTTTTTTTCATAGTGAAAAATACTTTTTTTATGGAGAATAGTTTTTAGAAGTAGAGACTATAGTCAAGACTACAGATATATAGAATATAGACAAGAAAATAGTCAAGAATATAGATGAAAATATAGTCGAAACTAGACTATAGTTAAGATTATAGAAGAGGTTATAGTCAAGACTATAGACTATAGTCAAGACTGTAGTCTATAGTCAAGACTAAAGACTACTATAGTCAATGCTAGACAATACTCAAGACTAGACTATAGTTAAGATTATAGTCAAGACTAAAGTCGAAACTGTAGTCAAGACTATAGTAAAGACTATACATGAAACTATAGTCAAGGCTAGACTATAGTTAAGATTATAAACGAAACTATAGTCAAGACTAGACTATAGTTAATATTATAGAAGTGACTATAGTGAAGACTATAGACTATAGTCAAAACAATAGACAATAGTCAAGACTAGACTATAGTTTGGATTATAGTCAAGACTATAGACGAAACTGTAGTCAAGACTAGACTATAGTTAAGGTTATAGTCAAGACTATAGACGAAACTGTAGTCAGGACTATAGTCAAGATTATAGACGAAACTATAGTCAATGCTAGACTATAGTTATGATTATAGACGAGACTATAGTCAAGACTATATTCTATAGTCAAGACTATAGACTATAGTCAATACTATAGACGAAACTGTAGTCAAGACTAGGCTATAGTTATGGTTATAGACGAGACTATAGACGAAACTGTAGTCAAGACTAGACTATAGCTAAGATTATAGAAGAGACTATTGCTAACACTATAGTCAAGACTGTATACTATGGACGAGACTTTAGATATATAGTGCTATAATCGATACTATAATCGGTCTATTATAGAACCCAAAAAAAAAAACATAAACATTAATTAGTGGTTCCCCCCATTTTGCAGTCCCACCTCTGAAACCAATCTACCCGAACTTTTTAAGATACACGATAAAATTCTCTCGCTCTGTGTAATCACTAATGCCCAATATGGACCGCAGTGTGTACCCTATATGGCCGTATGCTTTGTCATTGCTATCTTTGGCATATTTCTACAGACGAAAGTGTACTTTGTTGTTGGTGGCAAAAATCCTATACTCGACTATATGGTCTTTATCTATATGCTGTGGAGTATGTCATTGATGCTGGTGGCATATTTAGTTTTACGTCTGTGCTGTAATGCCAACGGCTTTTCAAAACAATCGGCCATGATTGTCCATGAGATAATGCAAAAGAAACCGGCCTTTATGTTGGGCAATGATGTCTACTATAATAAAATGAAATCGTTTACGCTGCAATTTTTACACTGGGAAGGATTTTTCCAGTTCAATGGTATTGGCTTGT